CTGCAGCGACTCAGACACAAACCATTTATTTTCGGAGTTTGGCAACCTCACAAAACCCCTGCACCTTTTTACTTTCTCCACTCACGTAAATCCTTCAGAGCTGCGTGAAGAAATAATCTGTCTTGACGTCTCACTTTTTTGTTACATCAAGAGCATTCTCATTTTTTTTTCTTTCCAGACACTTCTCAAAGCGTTATATAAAGTGTGAAAATTGAGCGTTTAAATGCGGCACGCTGCTTCCCAGGGTGTTGGAGGATGACCGCGGACAGCTGGGCAACTCATTTGAAGGGTCATCAAGATTTAATGTTTTACATCAACGGCTTCACTGGAGATCCCTTTATCGACTGCGGCACTGTTGACTTTATTACGTATCATACAGACACATGCACACAATGGAAATGTAAAAAAAAAAAAAAATTTGAAAAAGTAAGGTCATCTTATCTGGTATCTCCTCCCCACTGAACTCAGTGAGGTGTATACGCGTGCACACATGTGCACGCGCGCATGCACTCACGCACGCATGCACACACGCACGCACACACACACACACACACACACACACACACACACACACACACACACACACACACACACACACACACACGCGCACACACGCACACTCGCAAAAACACTGTGTAGTTGCTTTGAAGCCCCCTCGATCTCAACCATCATTTTCTTTCCCAGGCCCTGAAATCCCCCCATCTCAGAGCAGCACAAGAGCAAAAGACATGCTTGATTATTGTGCAAGCTCCAACATCAAGCACTAAAAAGCATAAGCAAGTGCACACATCTACCAAACAATCCCAAAATTTGATTTATTTTAGAAATGTGAACTCCAAATAAAAATTGTGTGTAAAAGTATTCTCAACTCAACTCAACTCAAATGTATTTATAGAGCACTTTCAAACAGCCATCGTTGCACACAAAGTGCTGTACAGGGAGCAACTAACATATACAACAGTAAAGCAAAGCAACAAATCAATAACAAAGACGGTAGAGAGCACCAAACAGTATGACTAAGATCATAATTTGGGTCATGCTGAGTCAAATGTCAAAGAATACAAGTGAGTTTTGAGGCGGGTTTTAATTAAAGATGGGCAGCGAGGAGGCTTGCCGAATGTTCAGTGGGAGGTCATTCAAGAGAAAGGGACCAGCAACGGAAAAGGCTCGATCCCCTCTGAGCCTCCGTTTAGTTCTTGGTACTTCTAATAATGTCTGGTCCGCAGACCTGAGGCGCCGGGCAGATGTGTAGGGGCGGATGAGCTCAGAGAGGTAAGGTGGCGCGAGGTCATTTAGAGATTTGAAAACAAATAATAGGATCTTGAAAATAACTAAAATGGAGAGGGAGCCAGTGAAGGGATGCCAGAGTAGGAGTTATGTGCTCCCTCTTCCGAGTACCAGTCAAGAGGCGAGCAACGGCATTCTGGACCAGCTGGAGGCGCTTAATGGAGGATTGGCTGACTCCAAAGTAAAGTGCATTGCAGTAATCGAGCCGAGATGTGACGAAGGCATGAATCACTCTCTCAAAGTGTTATTGAGAGAGGAGAAGTTTTACTTTGGCCAGCTGTCTAAGATGAAAGAAGCTGAATTTAACAACGGCACCAATTTGCCGGTCAAGTTTAAAATCACTGTCCAGTTTAATATCCAAGTTTGAGACTGTTGACTTAAGATAAGGAGACAGGGGGCCCAAGTCTACAGGATGAGATGTACAAGGGCCACTGGGACCAAACAGTATCACCTCTGTCTTCTGTTCATTAAAATTCAAGAAATTATGTGCCATCCAGGTTTTGATTTCTTCCAGGCAGGATAAAAGTGGCCTTAATGAGAAAGTGTCTTTTTTGTTCAGTGGGACATAGATCTGATAGTCATCTGCATAGTAGTGGAAGGAAATACCATGTTTCCTTAAGATGGAACTCAATGGGAGCAGATACAGTGAGAACAGCAGAGGCCCCAGAATTGAGCTCTGTGGGACACCACATGACAGAGGAGCAGTACATGACTCAGAGCAGCCAAGGCTGACACAAAAGGTTCTGTCAGTATTTTGAGGGTAAAACGTCAATTGTGTTGTGTGTCTTCTCTCGGAAAAGTGTCATGTAATGAGAGTAAAGTTTAAGGGCCCTATTTTTGTGCTGAGCGCAAATCTAGCACAAAACACAGTCTTACTGTGCGCCAACAGCGATTACTCTGAGACTGCAACTGAAGCTCATCTTCCTCTAAAAATCCCACCCCGGGAATGAAAAAAAGTGGTGAAATATGTACTGCTGTGTGTACATTTCATTGACTAGACATTTGCTGGAATAGCTTCATCTTTTGTTCAGAATCAGCTACTTCTCAAAGGTAACTGACAGGACTGCCTTTTCATTCATGCCCATGGTGCCACGGCTCTTTTACACAATTGGAAATTGAGCATCTATTACTTTGTAGAGTGGGTTGTTCCACTGCGCAAAAATGGGCGGTCATTGGATAAATGCTGGGGTTTATCCGGCCCATTGGATGCTCAGCGCCTCTGGGGCTCTATGGGGCAGCGGGCTGGCCCGGACGCTCGGCTTGTGCATGATGATTGGATGGTCTTTGGCGGAGCTGATCTTCCCCTCAAATGAATGACCAGCAGCCACCACTGCTGTGCGCAAGGGTGGAGTTTCTTTCCTTTTGGTATTTTGCGTGACAATGCACAGGTGGGATTGGGTGTAAAGCGGTATTTACGCCTTTGTGGGATGGAGTAGTCTTTTCCTTGTCAATCCTCGCTGCATCCCATATTTGCATCAAAATCAGGGCACAGTATGCCTGAGTACGGCATGCTTGACACTGCAGAAACAAAACTAGACTCGCTGGGGTCTGTCCATGGCATTAGCTGGTAAACTGCCAGATCTCCCATTGCAAATGATGTAGTCGGCCATGCATGTGACACGGGAGATTGGAGACCAACTTGCAACCCCGATTGTGCGTCTGTCTGTGGCATCCACCACGACCAAACACACCAAAATCGCATTATACCACCCGTGCCTTAAGTTACACCTGCTTTTCGAGATTTCAAAATATAGTCTACTTTTTGGGACCAAATTTGCAGATGTGCTGCGGGGTTGCCGCGGGAATGGAGGGCAGCATAGCATGTCTATAAAATTCACAAATACACTGAGCTGGACCATTGCCGCAGCACGTAAATGACAATGCGCTCAGTTTTACACAGAGCACAGACAATTTTCTATTACCAAACTCTTAGATGAGTCCGGGTTGAAGCAACTCCGTGCGCCGGAACGCCCAGAGAGAGGCAACACGGCTCCAACCACGCTAGACCAGACTTGCGCTGGCATGAAAATGAAATTACTCTCGTTTTTATGCCAAGTGCATGGGCACCGGGGGAATATTATCAGGTTCAAATCAGACTCTGAAACAATAATTTTAAGAAATTAGTTTCAAACCTCCAAACAAGAATAAAATCATAGTTGTGTTGATTTTGAGGAAAGAAATATAGTTAGGTGAAATAATTTTTTCCTGCAAGAAAATCGTGAATAATCCATCCATCTCTCCATCCATTTTTAGATCGGCTTTATCCATGCAAGGGTCGCGGGGGATGCTGCAGCCTCTCCCAGCTGTCTTCGGGCAGTTGGCGAGGAACACCCTGAACTGGTTGCCAGTCAATCGCAGGGCAATCGTGAATAATAAAGAAAAAATAATATTTTAACATCAAAAGTCAAATTTTAAAAACGGAATTTTGAAAGCTCAAACAAGACTAAAATCATCATTATGCAAAAATTGTCATTTTTTTTTAATGAGAACCAAAAAGGCTTTTTTTCTCTTTTTCATGAAAAAGAAAAAAAGGCAAAAATTGCTTTGAAGTCCCTCTGTATCCACCTTCATTTTCTTTGCCCCCCCATGCCCCCCACCCCCCAGCCCCCATCTCTCGCATTCATCAAAAAAGCACCACGAGATAGCTGACATACTGAATTATTGTCAGAGTCTCAACACAAAGCACCAAAAGTCACACACGCAAACTGCATACAAAACAATCCGAGAACAAAGTGCGGACGGGGAAAGCTGAGTGTTATGAGATGAAAGTTGTAATTCAACAAGACATAATGTAGTATCCGGACAATTTTTAAAAATCCAAAACAAAAATTAAATCATGACAGAAAAAGTCATAATTCTCCAGAAAATGTATTCCAAAATGTAAAAAGTTATTTCAGAATTGTGTGAGGAAGGTTAGAACTTTGGAAAAAGAAAACCCATTTTGTGAGAATGATTCTCTTTCGTAGAAAACAACAAAGAATGCCATATTTTTAGAAGAATATATAGAAGAATAATGTTGGGATAATTTGTAAAATGGTCTCATTACAATTTGTTTTCATACAAAATTGTCAATTTAAAAAAGAAATTCAACTTTTCAAGATGTTTCAATATATTTTAGCAAGAGAATTTCTCCAAACGGGACTAAACAAACTTGTACAAAATTTTGAGAAGAAAAAGCAGTATATTTTTCAAGGAAAGAATATGTGAATATAACAAGATAAGTAGAAATTCAACAAGAAAAATATTCAACAAGAAAAAACTCCAAAACTGACTAAAATAGTAATTGTGCAGGAAGTGTTGGGGAAAATGCATTTTGAGAAGGAAAAACATAATTATTTTCAAGGGGAAAAAAAAAGTTATTTTTGCAAAACTACTCTTGCAAGAAAAATGGGAATATTAAAAGAATAATTGAAATTCAATGAGAAAACAACATTTCCCATACGCAAATTAAAAAAGGGAATTTCAAATCTCCAAATAACAAAAAAATCATCATTAAGTTATTGTATTTATTTTTGAAAAAAATATATATATATTTTTTAAAAACAATTATCGTTAGCCACAAAATTATAATAAACATAAATTGACAATTGTGTAAAAAATGACGTCATAATTCAACGACAACCCTGCTTTAATTTTGTTAGAAAACCCGAACCTTTGCCTTCACTGTATTAAATATAAAAACCATTTGGCTGTGTTTTTCATGTCAGACTTACGTTAATGTCATTCAGGTTCAAGGCGTTAAGATACTGATTGTTCCTTTTCCACAGGATGGGCGGGCGGCGCTGGCCCGTGATGGCGCAGGTCAGCACTGCGCTTTGGCCCACCGTCACAGTCTTCACCGTCACCCTCTGGTGGTCCGGGAGATCCAGCAGGTACACATCTATTGACCACAGGACGATACAGAGTCACGGAGGCCATCTTGTATTTTGCAGGTTTCATGGGTTTGAATACAAAGGCAAAATAGATCGTGAACTAGCACTAAATCAGAATAAGGACCTGCAGTGTAAATCCATCCTGAGAGACCAAAATGTGATCATTAATGAACACAAGGTTATTTGCTGGTGTGCAACAGAGCCTGAATTAAAATAACAATCTTGGTATTGCAATTTAATGAGAGAGAGGAGTTCAATAATTTACCAATCCCTGAACAACTGAAGAAGGGAATTGTCAGCGAAAGTATATTGAAGGCTCACCTTGGCTTCAATCATTTTTAGCAGCGATTATTGTTCATGCTGAGACACAGGACAATTATCTCTCAACAATTAAAGAATATCGACCACTAGCAAACGGGCACACGTTCAAAAATCAGGCTGTTTGGGCTATGAATTGGACTTAAATTTCCCCATTGTGAGACAAATAAAGGTTTTCTTACCTTACAAAGGTTTTCTTAAAGATACCTGTTTTGAGCCACAACCTTAATCACCCTGAACAAAGTACACCCTAACTTTCCTGAATCTTAGCCCTAGCTCTGAACCCATTTAAAGAAGCTCGAATCTTAAAGTCGAATCCTGTCAACCCAAAGCCCAACCCCCAGCGCTGACCCTTCAACAGAGCTGGTCTGCCAACTGACCTCAAAGGTCAACTGTGAAGTAATTTCAGAAAATCCCAAATGAGATATTTTTATGTCACCAGTAAAATAGTGAGACAAACTACATTAACATTATGTTGCACATACAGCACATTTGACAATAAAGTTGTACTTGACCTGATTAAATAAAGCATGGAAAAAAATCTTTTCTCTTTCGTAAATTTGACAAATTCATCGTTTTCTCGAAGTGAAACCTTGGTGAGCAACAAACCCGAAAGTGTAACATCAATTCAAGAACAACAATGGCACAGCTCAATCGGGAAAGTGTCCAAAGCCAGTCTGAAATTGATTCAGAAAGCGATTTTTCGAATTTGTCTGAGGGGGTCCAGGTGTTTGAAGAGTTGGAGGAAGAGGAGGTTGTTGGCAAGATGTGTATTGGATCATACTTGTACGAACCAGATGCTCAGGATTTGCTGTGCCCGAAATACTGGACGTGGAGTGGAGACGCGACCTATCATGAATGGAAGAATGGTAAGCTATATATTGCTAGGCTAATCACCGCAGCCTATATAGCTGCAGTGATTAGCCTAGCAATATTTTGTGCAATTCATAGTGGGTTGGTGTCCGACATTGGCATTGCTAAGGTACCGGTAATTCTGTTGCATTGTTGGCCGGTCCCTCCATGCATTGTACAAAGCCAGCCAGAAATCGATTCAGAAGGCGACGTTGTAAACTAATCTGAGGGGATACAGGAGGAGGTTGTTGGCAAGATGTACCGTATTGGCCCGAATATCAGACGGTGTTTTTTGCATTGAAATAAGACTGAAAAAGTGGGGGTCGTCTTAGATTCGGGGTCTAGACATTATACCCATTCACGACGCTAGATGGTGCCAGATATCATTGAAGCGAATGCTGAACTTGACTCCCCAGGCCAAAGCGAACCCGTCACGAAAAATAAAAATAAAAATAGCGGTAGCACGAAGAAGAAAAGTAAAAATATAGAGGTAAGAAGGAAAAGAGAAGAAAATAACAGAAGAGATAACTGAAAATGTTAAACGTAGCGACAATCTGGAGAAAAGTGGGTCGAAGATCGGCCAGGTTAACTGGCAGCTGAGAAGTTATGGGGTAAACTTCAAGATGCTTTTTCTCTCAAATATATTGTAGTAATCATTAGTTTCAGATGTACTGTAATTATTTTCTGTATAAAAATTAATTTGGTGTTCAAAAAGACCTTTTACAAATTTGAGTCTTGAAAAAGAGGGGGTCGTCTTATAATCGGGGCCGTCTTATATTCGGGCCAATACGGTATATTGTACTATACATGTACGAGCCAGGTGCTCACGATGCAGAAAATGTCGTGCCCGAACGGCTGGACGTGGCGTAGAGATGAGATGTATTGGGATTGGAAGAATGGTACCGGTAATCTATTTCGGCAGCAGTTATTAGCCTTGCGTTATTGTTTGCAATTCGATGCGGTGCTGTGCTGTAAACCGCGCACGATGGGATTACCTACTTGGTCCATCCATTTCTACTAGCACTGAGAACACAAGTTATAGTGGGTCAGTGCCCTACATTGTCATTGCTGAGGTAGTTCTGCTGCGTTGTCCTCCACTCCGCACGTTACATTGGCAACATTTTTGGTTGCAAACCATTCAAGATGATTCCATCCATACACTAATGTAGTTAGAAATATTTTATTTACATGCAGAATTTTTTTCTTGCCTGAATGTGAACAGTGCGTCGTCACACATGTTTTTTAATATGGTCTGCCGTGTGGTTGTGAAAATACTCGCCAGTCAACCAAGCGTGTCAGAGGAGACAAATAATGATAATAAGAAGAATGAGTCTGACTCATTTTGTACAGAAACGTCCATGGCGAAAAATGTCAGGAAATTCTTTTTTGGGGATGTTTATCTGGCTGGCTGAGGCATTTCAGGGAAACGACAAATTCGGTTGTTGAGGGAACACCAAATTTGCTGACAGTACTGGCACTGCCGGCCAAAACATGAACATGCCATTTTTAGTATTTCAGCTGTATAACTTGTTGATTATGTGTCAAAACTTGCACATTAAATGAGAATTTAAGACATAGTTCCTGCATTTATTGCCAAAGCATTTATGAGTGGTACAGTGAAAATAAGCAGAAATCTGATTTACAGTATGTGCACCTCCATTTTCTGCTTGTGCCCTGTAGAATCTGAAGTTAGCGCGCTGCTCGTAAAACAAGTTAGTCTGTAGCTCTTCCTGATAGATACAAGAATGTACAGTTCCCAACGGTGGATGGAGGGCGGCATGCATGGTGTCCAGGAATTGCATGAAGCACTGAGTGAAGTCACTGAGTTGTGTTCCACAACCACGCGTCTTAGAGAGAGCCTGCTCTAAGCTTTCTCTTCAAAACAGACTCCATTAGTTGTGCTCCTGAAGGTGTAAAATCCAAACCTAAAGACCCCTGCGCATTTCTGTCTTAACCTTCCCTGTCTTGGCGGCCAAACTTCGAGAGCCCAACTGGCCAATGGGAGCAGAGTGCTCGGGAGAATGGTGAGGCTCACAGCTAAGACTGGTAATCTCTCTCTTGGCCGACTAAATCGCCGCCCGGATCACAGCGAAATAAGAGGATTAATAACGCCCAGTGGTCCAAACCTCCACCACCTCTCCATGAACTATCATTGTTGTGTTTCATGTGCGTCTGTAATGATTCAAAGAAGAATATTTCCATGAGCCAGTAGCAGCGATGAATCCTCAGCAAGTTTTCTCCTCGATATTATATACTGTATTTATAATAACAATTTGCATAAAGGGTGACAAAAATGGTACAAATAAGCATAACAGTACTGTAATGAATAATATGTCTCCTGTATACAGTACTGTAACACCTTATGAATATGTAATTAATAAATTTAAGGATACAAAACTAAGAAAAAAAAACCACCCAAAAACCTTACATTTTTTTGGTTATGTTGTAAAGCAACATTCGAATTTTCTATCCATTCGTGAAAAAATAATTGATAGAAAATAAAAGTATTGATTTGTTAATTTTTAGCTGATTTAAATTGGAATTTAAATCAATGATTTTTGAAATCAAACAATCCTAATCCCAAAGGCACTTCATACTGTACAGTACTGTACTGTATAGCCAATGTACTGTTGTGCACAAAGAGAAAAAAAGGGAAAGAAATTGCGAAATTTACGATCAGCATTCACTTTCACTTACATCAATTTCTTGGATGTCTTTTATTTTGCCTCCTCCATCTTTCATTTTCATCACTTTTACCCTCTCTTCTAGCGTCAGAGCTCTTGTCTTAGCTGCTTGGCATCCAAAGGTCCGTTTTGTAGCCATTTTAGCAATGCAACGAAATACTTCCTGGACTACTGCGCATGTGTAAACCAGTGTGGTGGTTGCTGTTGTAGTTTCGGAGCAAAGCAGTAGGAGTCGCTGTTGGCTGAGGGTGGATTAGACTTTTGCGGAAGGCTTGTTTTCGTTGTAGTGTATCTTGTCGCGAGGCAAGAGGATAGAAAATGATTTTGTATAACGGAACAGGGGGATTTTTCGTTGTAGGGGAGCAGAAAATTGGGAATGGCTTTCCCAGCTGTCTTCGGAAAGTAGGCGGGGGACACACTGAACCGGTTGCCAGCCAATTGCAGGGCACACGACCATTTGCGCTCACAATCACTGTGTCGGGCAGGGGCTCACTTAAGCCTGGATCATTTATGGAAGTGACAGAGAATCTTCGTTGCATGAACAAATGTTAGTTTTTCCAAATCATATCACTTGCAAGCCAATTCTCTTCGAGTGTCATGTAAGATGAGTTTTAATAACACATAAAGTGTTCTGAGATTTTCGTTTGTGGTATCTTGAAACTATTTATACAAGAAATTGTAAATATCTGTGTGGAGTGGCAATTTCAGGCAGCTTCTTTGCTCTCCCCGCGGGGGTTGGTCCCTCAAGGAGGATTACTATAATTTTGTTAAAATAATCACAATTTCAATTGGTTAGGGATCGTTTGGGCTCTACATTTTTTCTGCCATTTTCTGAAGTGGAACAGGTGGTACAAAGTCGGCACTGCAAACTGAGACTTGAATTAGAAACTTTTTTTGAAACCATTTTTTCCCACCCTGCATGGTTTCCTGGGCAAGTAAAACACATCCAGGATTCTCCAGATTTAGAAGGTACTGTAAAGACGTGAGGAAATTGCATCTGTCGTCCGATGAGCTCAGGCTAAGTCTATTCTCCGCCTCTTCTCCTCTCGGGCACCAAATCCCGGCAAAGTCAGATTTGTTCGGCAGCTGCTTAGTGGTGATTCAAAATCCCATTCCCATAATGTCGTCCTCTAACTGTTCAATCTTGTCAGCTA